CCCCAAAACCCCAAAACCCCAAAACCCCAAAACCCCATTTAGTGTATATTTTCCAGATAGATATAATATAAGTAAATATAATAAAGTAGATGGATATCTATAATAATTATAATATATTAAAATGTTAAAGACTTTAACTTTGACTCTTGTAGGACTAGCTGCTCTAGTCTCTGCTCAATTACCAGCTGATGACTTAGTCTCTAGTCTTGAATAATTCGATGATATCTCATTCGGACTCTATTCAGGATATATTCCTATCAAAGACACTAAGAAAAAGCTTCATTATATGGCTGCACTAAGTAAGAGAAACCCTAAAACTGATCCAGTTATCATATGGTTCAATGGTGGTCCAGGCTGTACTTCAATGTTAGGATTTTCATAGGAAAATGGTCCATACTCTTTGAGTGATGATGATACTATCTTTAGAGTTAACGACTATTCCTGGAACAATGAAGCCACTATGATATATATTGAATCACCAGCAGGTGTAGGCTATTCAGTTTGTGGAGATGCAAAAGAATGTGCCTTCACTGATGATAACTCAGCTGATGATAACATGGCTGTTGTCTTATCATTATTTGAGACAAAATTCCCAGACTTTCAAAAAAATGACCTTTATATTGCAGGAGAATCTTATGCTGGTATTTATATCCCTCAACTTGTAAAGAGACTTGATAAATATATTACTGATAATGCCTAAGATCCAAATGTTTTCAAACCAGCTCTTAAGGGTTTCATGGTTGGTAATGGTGTTACTCATTGGTAATATGATGCTGAGCCAGCTGCCATCGAGCAGGCTTACTGGTTTGGTCTTGTTGATGATGCTCTCTACAACTAAATGAGAACTTGCGATTTCACATATTACGATTTCGATGGAGATACCAAGCTTAATCAAACTTGCAAGGATTTAAAGAAAAAGTATGATTCATACATGAACAATATTCAACCATATGATCTCTTTGGAAAGTGCTACTTCTGGCCAACTTAAAAAGGTCCCTAACTTATTAATGGTAAAATGGTTGATCTTGCCGACGATGCATCACTCCTTTAAGAGAGAGATAAATACTTAAGAGTTGTTGATTATGCAAACTTCAAATATAGAGATAGACCAGATTACTAATAATTGAAAGATGCACCTTCGTGTGGAACTTATGATGGTCCTCTCCTTGATTACTTTAACAAGGCCTCAGTCAAATTATCACTCAAAATTGATCCATCTATTACTAATTTCAAACTATGCTCTGATATTAATTACTCTAAGAATAGAGATGGTACTTTTGCCATTTATCAACAATTGACACAGCCAGGATCTAAGTATAGAATTCTTAAGTATTCTGGTGACTCAGATGGTGTTGTTCCAACCCAAGGTACAATGAAGTGGATTGATTAGTTAGGTCTCAAGGTTACCAAGCCATTCAGATCTTATGATGTTGGTGGCAACACAGCTGGATGGGTTGTAGAATATGAGAATGGCTTTACCTTTGCCACCATTCACGGAGCAGGTCATATGGCTCCATAATGGAAAGGATAATAGACTTATCACGCTATCTTCAACTGGATTTAGGGATAAGAGTTGTGAATGCACTTAGTAAATTGATGCAGCTATAGCTTATTGATTGAAGTAAATCGAATCGTTCATCTATCTAATTTTGTTAATCATATTCACAATTCGACTTCTAAATTTGTAGCATGGGGTTTTGGGGTTTTGGGGAGATCG